TGAATCATTATTCTCAAACATACTGAGTTTATATACCAAACGAACTGACCACATCGTACCATAAAGTAGAAAATAATATTTGTACAAGATTATGCCAAATGTGACTGTGAATAAGGGGACCAGTAATTAATAGACTGGGGATAACTCAAGAATGGCAAATGATATAATAATAGTCTACAAGTCAAAATAAAGCTTTAAATAAGAGGAACATGAATATAAATAGTTTAATTACTTAGCAATTATACAATAGGAAATATACATATCACGTTGATCCATAAATAGTCCTCAAAAGTTACCATTCACAATTCTCTTCGAGATATAACAGTAACACTGTTTAAAATGTTGTACCTTAATAAAATACATAAAATTCATCCATTTTAATAAACTTCAAAAAATATTTATGAAGTGTTATTTTAAAAGGTAAATTAAAATATAAATTGTGCTATTAGTTAAATAAAATAAAATGTCTACTTCTATAATTATGAACGATTGAAGTAGACAGAGACTAAACAAATACTGACAGTTTACGGTATAGTAAAAGCATAATAAATATCGATACAATAATAAAGTATGTACATAACTGTTAAACTATCCACATTAGAAAAGGTGTTTACATTTTGATGTTAGCCAACTTAAAAACTTCCATCATTTCTCTGTTTATCATTAAACAGAAGAAGGTATTGTAGAGATTTTAGTAATTTAATAGTTGAATTCATGAATCAATTGAATCTAGACCACCATGGGAAATCTGGAAGCACTGGACAACCGTTCCATTTTAGCATAGGACTCCTCAGCAGTACGCATCCATGATCCCACCCCAAGGGATTCGAATCTAAGACTTACTGGTCTCGTGTGCTAACCAATTCACGAAGTCGCGCCACTGTCTACAATTTATTGATGTTAAAAGTTTTGGTATTATGTTCAACATGTCGGGAAATGTAAACATTTGTTCGGTTGGATAAATGAAACTCTACCATAATAACTAACAAAGAAATATTTAGAATATTGGTTCATAAGTTCAAAGTCAGAGATGTATCTTTCATACTACATGCCTATACACATTGACAAATTCATAGTTAAGATAAACTGAAAATCTATAAAGGATTTATGCATAAATTGGTTATGCAATGTTAGTTTATTCACAACATGTTATTTTAATTTAATGTAGAGAAATTACATTTATATCTACAATAAAATGGAAATGGTTTTTAGAGTTTTTCATATGATTATCACTAATTGTAGATATTTTTTTGGGGGGAGGATTTGCCTAATTTGCATAGATTATTAAAAATTTGTTACTTGAAATTTATAATGAATCAATCGATTCTTATGTAAAATTTTTCACAAAGAATAACATTGCTTTATGATATAATAGATAAGTGGATAACGTGATAGAGTTTGAATCGAACAGTACTGGGTTCAAGAGCCAGAGTGAACATCAAATTTGAGATACAGGTACATTCAGCTGACGAGTGCCAAGTGGGACAAAACGCGCATAATGGATTCCACTGCTAGCCACTATCCATCTTTGCTTATAATGCTTGTGAGTCAAGGTTATATTTAGGCAATCCCCACATATGTCAATACTAAGAGACTGATCAATTGCAGCCCTAAACACCAATGAGATGAATAAATCAAACAATACAAAATGAATTTAATATTCGTGATTGTTTAGATATCATAAACGATATTGCTTTCATTACTGATAACTCCAATATACTAAATCAAAGATGTTGTACCTTCGTATTTCATTTCACTGTTTACCTAATATAGTAAAGAAGTTTTATACATGTTTGATATAATTACACCACATCAAACAACTAACAATATTAACATTAGAAACTATTTTCTTCCTATGTATCTATAAGTCACTTATATACTTCAACTTACTAAATGGCAATTTAAAGTAGTCATTTATTTAATAATCGAAGATAAAAATTACATTTTATATATGCCTCAAACGGTTGCATCAGAACGAAGAATAAATGAATGGTAACTGCTAGGAATTAATAATGGATTATTATTACATATATTCTTATTAATTAAGTAGATTATATGTATATTCGAATTCCTTTTATCATAAGCTTTCATTTTACCTATCGGTTGCTGTTATACGATTTACCACTTTCAAATTATTCCCAATTTATTGGTTACTAGAAGCTAGACCACCATGGAAAACCTGGAAACACTGGACGGCCGTTTCGTCCTATTATGGGACTCCCCATTAATTAACTAAATAATAATGATGTTCAACAGAGAAATGTATGAAAAATCTTTTGTTTTAATGATAGAAATCAATGTTATATGTCATATGAAATAAAATGAACTGATTTTATCCCATATTGTTTATTTTTCTTCTTCTTCTTCTTCTTATTATTATTATTATTCTTATTATTATTATTATTATTATTGTTATTATTATTATTATGTAATCTGGGTGTTTGGTACCTGAGTGGTTGCGCCACAGGATTGAGCTGTACTGTTCGGAATGTGGCGTTGAAGCCTATTTAGTGTCTGGTTCTCCTATAGGGCGGGATTGAGCTGTACTGCTTGGGTTAAGCCTGGGTAGTGTCTGGCTCTCCTGTTAAACGGGATTGAGCAATAATGTTTGGGTTGCCGCGTGAAAGTCTGGATGGTGTATGGTTCTCCTGAAAAACAGTGCAAGATTACCCTGGCCCATATATATATATATTATATAACTGTAATCTGGGGCATTTTAATTCACAGAATTAAGTTGTTTATATTTTCTCTTTTAATTATTATAAAATGTTCATATGAAGGTATCAAAGTAAGAAGTCTTACAATATAAATAGTTTTTAATAATTTTATACACGTAAATAATTAATATATTCAGATATGAGTTTTAATTTTGTTAAATACTTTAACCGGTTAAATATTAAATAATAGAACATTCGAATATCTAATAATAATTTTAGTGGTTAAATTTATCAGTCGATTAAAACTAGACCTCCATGGAAAACCTGGAAGAACTGGACGGCCGTTTCGTCCTGGTACGGGACTCTTCAGGAGCGCGCATCTATGATCCCACACCCGCGAGATTCGAACCCAGGACCTACCAGTCTCAAGCCGAAGCCCTTAACCGATAGACCACTGAGCCGGCATCCAGTGGTGTTAATGTCTAACTTCAACCAATCCACGATTTTGAGCGACCGTTCACCAATTGTCTTCAGTGAGATGATATCTCTACCACTGACCTGGTAGAACTCCACTGACCACTGCTTCCCACTAGAACTCAAGGAAATATCTCTTGAAGTCAGTCACTAGTGAGCATATGATTATAGATCAGAGGGGGTTTTGTGGAGAATTTAGTATTTTCACAGTGAAAATACTAAATACTAAATACTAAGTTTGTTGATTTTTAGTTTTACTTAAACATATAAAGTATTCTTCATAGTATAATTAATATAATCATATGCCCACTAGTGACTTCGAGAAGTATAACTAGGAGCTCTAGTGAGAAGCAGTGACCAGTGGAGTTCAAAACCACGTCTGTTGTGAGATAGGAACTCACTGAAGACAATTGGTGAATGGTTGCTCAACTTCGTGGATCAGTTGAAGTTAGACATTAGCACCGTTGGATGCCAGCTCAGTGGTCTATCGGTTAAGGGCTTCGGCTCAAGACTGGTAGGTGCTGGGCTGGAATCTCGCTCGCGAGAGCGGGTTCGTGGATGCGCACTTCTGAGGAGTCCCATAATGGGATGAAACGGCCGTCCAGTGTTTCCAAGTTTTCCATGGTGGTCTAGCTTCAATTAACCCATGCTTTCAACAATGATAAATACTAAATCTCCACAAAACCCCTTCTGATAATTAATATAAAGTATTCATTATATAGCACAAAGAACTGTTACACTCACATAAACTTCAGCTATAAGCATTAGATATTTACATAAATCTTTCAGTACTAAATAGCCTTCAGTAATTTACTCTTTGTGTTTGTTATTTCCTACTAAATATATGTATTTATACACAAATATAAAAGCTTGTGAAAATTGATATTCCTCTGTCGTGATGTTACCAACCTTGGCACCACGAACTGCATACAAACATACTAAGGATTTGTCAATATCGGATATTGACGTAAAATTCCCATTTAAACATTTAAATTAAAAACACGAAGTTCAGTGAAGGGATCTCTTTCTTCAACTCGGATACGGGAACATATCCTAGGTTGGCTGTACAAGGGTGTAAGGAAAACAGTTATGAGATCTGTACTTAAACACCTAATCAACTGTAATCATTCTACGAATCCACAGTCTGATTTTAAGGTTGTTTATATGTTCCATTCAAATCTACATAAATTTCTTCGTATCCAACTACTAAAAATAGCCGAAGCTCTCCATGAGCTTAAACCAGAACTATGCGTACAAAAGAAGTACATCTTATCGTTATCGTTACCATGGCCTTAATTATTATTATTATTATTATTATTATTATTATTATTATTATTATTATTATTACTGCATCCCCCTTTACTTATGTCTTATATTCTCATTATTTTATTTATGAATACTCTTCACATCCCGCTATTTATTTTACACCTCTATGACCTTCATTGACCTTTAATTATTGTAACCAAAAAACTTTATTCATTTTAATCATCTCATTATATTCACCAAATCTATTGTAATTACTCGTATTACGTAATCTAGTATTATAATCTTTCTATTACGTCACCTTGGTTATTTGTGTTCACATTTTCTCACGGAATTAGTACTTTAACAAAACATTTTCATATATATACGATTGGATAATAAATTCGTTGAAAAGAGATCCCTTCACTGAACTTCGTGTTTTTAATATCGGATATGCCATCAATATTTACATAACTTATGAGTAATCATAACTAAACACATCAACAACATACCAGATCATGATTGGTTAACCAAATATCATTTTAATTGGCAGTAATATAATTGGCCAATCAAAAATTAAGGAAACTATTTTCATGTTATGTTTGTAATCTTACCAGGATACAAGTTAGTACATTTTAGTACATTTTACTAGTGTCTAAAACACCAATTGTTACTAATAATGGAATAAACTATGTATCCCAAGAGATGGTTGATTATTTGGATTATAATCTATTGTAATATTTTAATAAATTTTTCGGCAAATGAAATTAATAATGAATCCATTACCAAAAATTTAGGAGTTAATAATATATCTACAACACTTGATGATGTTAACAATGTTAATTTTCAAACGACTAATTCCACTAATTCAACTGAAACATATAAATACTTGTATAATAATTTAAAACATTATTTTCTAACGTGGTATCTACCTACAGTGATTATTTTAGGAGTTGTTGGCACCGTATTCTGTTTAGTGTTTCTATTTTTGTCAAGATTATTTCCACAGAATATGTTGATTTGGTTGGTTAGTATATGTTTTGGAGATTTTTTTATACTCTCCCTGGAAGGTATATGGATGTTATTAAAAGTTTGGTATAATTATGATATACGTGATAATAATAACTTTATATGTGTACTACATACAAGCTTATCGAATTATTTTTTCTACTGGTCAGCTTATATGCAGAGTATGTTGTCAATGCAGCGAGCATACTCAATTATCAGACCGTTGCGTGCTAGAAATAGTGGTCCGAAAATAATATGGCTTTTTCGCCTATGGTTTTTGATATCTATCTGTCTTATACTACCAATTCTCCCTTATCCATTATACTGGCGAGTTATTAACGGTGACTGCGATCCAACAAATACAGATTTATATCATGTTACAACATTGAACGATTTTATTGTCTGGGGTTTAATTCCACTAATTGGTATGACATCGTCTACAGTCATAATATGTTGGAACATTTTTCGATTGCGAAAATGTTTTCGTGAAGCAACCTCTTCATTTTGTCTACATGAAAATGAACAAAAGAGAAAGTCTAGTGCGTCCAGGGTCAGTAGATTGATTTACTACTTGAGAACAGATGATATATCTGAGAATTTTCGTAAACGTTCAAATTCTCTATCAGTTTCTGAATCCGCACTGAATTTGCAAATGAAATCTCAATGTGAAATTCTACCTAGGATTTATAAACCTATATCTGTTCACAACTTGATTGATCACACGTCAAGATGTAACTCAAAATTTCACTCTCAAGTAATTATCAGACCAACAAATGTTTTGAATACACGAAGAACTTTTGCAACAAAGTCTAAAGCGATATCATTTGACCAGATTACTAATTGTGTAAGACCTATTAGTAATTCAGGTCACCGCCATGGCGCAACAGATAATGTAGGTCATGTAACACGACTTTTGGTATGTATGAATATTTGGTATATGGCTAGTACATACCCACTGATAATTTATTTAATGTTATTAAATTTTGTGCTAACAAATGTTGATCGTGATGTTCACAAATTCATGTATTACTTATCAAGAAGTTTATGCTTTTTAAATGCATGTTCAAACTGGATATTTTATTGTGCATCAGGACGATTATTTCGTTCACGCATACATCAGATGGTACTGCGTTTCATGTGTCGGATACGGTTTTGTCACAGAAGTGGAAATTCTGTTCGAATACCACCAGACTATACAAATCATTTCAAAAACCAATTTGTCTTGAATACATCAAAAAATGTGTACCATTCACGTATCGGTCCATTTTTTAAATATTTCAGTGAGTCAAGGAAAAACAACATGGGTTTGAATAAGAATCATGGTGGTAACAAAACCAATGATATGATGCACCAGAGCATTGAATTTATTGATGAATTTGGAGGACACGTACTCAATAGTTCTTTTGAGACGGTAAAAAAACAAAATACTGACATTTCCTCGACTACTAGAGATATTAATTTCATGCATAATACGTCAGGTAACTATTCAAATAGTTGTTTCCCTTTAGGCTACCAGTGCTTTTGTAATTTATTTCCTTGCTCACTAAAAGTTTTCAGTAAACCTACAGATTCAAATAAAAATTTATCGGTTAAACCCTATCCAAACGTGAAGAAGTTACAAAAAGATGGAAATGGTAATGAAAAGAAACACGTTTTACTTGGATGTAACGGATGTTTTACAGGTTTCTGTTGTTGGCGTTTTTGGTGGTATGGTTTGATGGCCGGATGTATCAAACGGATACCCAATACAATTGAAACTGTAACAGATAGCGATCAAAATTATTCTGTTCAAGTCCTTACAGGAATATCAACTTCATCATCAGTGTATGATAGCTGTGATTTGCATCGACGCCATTCCGAATTTGCTTTGAACAACTTAAATTACAAATACTGTACGCACTATCGATCCACAGAAAAATTCCGTGAACTTGAACCAAAAAGGAAGCTAGAGTTGGATCTAGCCATTCAAAATACATTTAGTACACAGATAAATCAAAAGCCATATGAAATTGCAAATTCATTTCCATCTAGTAGGTCTTTTGCTACTCCCAATAATGCGACTCGTTCAATAATTGACAAAGATAAAGCTATTGTTGATTACAACCATTCTGACATAACATTGCCTAAACAGATAATTCCAAGATGTTTTTGTTACATGTCATCGCAAGGTAATCGTAAATTTAATTATAATTTATGCCAATATCACCAAGATTTTAATTCATCCTGCCGTCATCATCATAGTCATCAACATTTTTGGCCACCGCAAAGTTCATATTTAACCTATCAATTGAATCGTCCAAATACATCCATAAATAGCTATCGGAAAAATTGTCAATTACCATCATCTTCTAATTTTACTTTTAGCGATGTTGAAGTTAATTCTTCAACTTGAAACGACAGTATTTTTGGTACTTAAATGTTATTTCAGTACAGCATGAATAATGCATATAACCTCATTCGTACATACCAAAAGATGATGGGATATTTAATTGATCCAAAAAATTATTAACCAGGAAAAGAATAAAAACGGGAATAAATGTGAAATTAAATAGAAAATTTTTAAAATGATGAGAAATGTCTGGGGATAAACGAAACAAATCTGGCTAGATAACAGAAATGATAATCTAATAAACGATCATATCTCATATGTGATAATATCTTAATACACATGTATATAATTCTGTATTATTTTTTTATAAACATTATCAAGATAGTGACAAGGTGTGTGACATAATTTGTTCATTATAAATATTATTATGAAGAAACATTCTTTTAACTTAAAACTATGACCCATAGAACAAACTTTATAAAACCATATTTTACACACACACACACACACACAAAATAATGTTTTGTTGAAGCTTCCCTATTCAATGAAGCAAGTTACTTTTGCTCATATTGTAGTCACTTTGAAATGATTGTCCATAAAAACAAAAGTTCAAACGTAGTGTATATAGGTGACTATTAATAGTTGAGTATAATTTATGAGTTTGTAAATTGTCAAGTTATCCATTTTGAAAATTTTTGAATATATAGTATGTTTAAGAAATTAGAGGATTTACATAACTAATTTTTCTACTACATCATTATGTATTGAACGGTTAACCAAATCATAGGATTACATTAATTTTCACTTTTCATTGATAATGATATTCAAAATCATCTATCTGAGTTACATATCATCTACACCATCTCATATTCAGTGGATTGTCATATGTATATCTGTGATAAATGTTCAGCTCATCAGCTTTACTGCTTTTTGTAACATTGAAATTGAAGGCTTTTCATGTTCAGTAGTAGGTTTTTTGAGATATTCTAAGATGAAAATCTTCGGCTCTTCAAAATTTGCTACATTATAATGATTTTTCAAAAGGAAATTGTCAGTGTGGGGTTGTGTAGATTGTTGAGTTTCATTGAAATCATGAAGCGATCAGTGTTAGACAACCATTGAAAACATAAAAACACTGAAACCTGTTGTTTTTGAGACACTTACCCACCGAAGTCAATGAAAGGTAATTACCCGATATCGTGAATCGTTTGAAGTTGGACATGAACACACCGGCTCAGTGCTTTAGAAGTTAAACGTTCACGAGCAAGACCTAAGATCCTATGTTCGACTGCTATGCGCATGATCGGGGGAAGTGCACCGATATGGAGTACCTGACTAGAATAAAATGGTCATGCAGTGCTCGCAGGTTTTCAATGGTGGTCTATGACTGATCGATTTATGATTTCACTGAAAGTAAATTCCTTAACAACTGTAAAATATGTTTGAGTATTGTAGATCATAACAATTTGACAGTACATATTTGAGCAAACACAACTCTTTCAAAAAATTAACTAGTCAGATTGAGAGACACAGTCCACATATTTTTTATGCTTATGGATAAAATATTTATAAAGTGTAATTATGTTTAGTCATGACCGAAACTTAAACAGGTATATAATATTACCATTGAATAGTATATCATTTTGATTGGTATTCACCGGAATATATTAGTTAGAATCTGTTTCTGCCATCATAATTCATTCTGACAATATTTTAAAACACCCATCAGTCGAACCAAATAAATCCGTCATATTTATATAATCTCATGAAAATTAGCAAAAGGTGTTATGAATTAAAAAAAGTTAAGCCAATTTGTTATGATTTCATGTCCGGCTTCTATCACGTGATTTATCCACAAATCAGAATACGACTTTCCCAATTTTAACAATGTGCAAAATCAATGACGTTCAACCAGTATGAGCAGTCTAGTGTTCTTATTGGTCCCTTGTCCGCCTAGCCCTTCCAATTGAATCCAAAAACACCAATTACAGCTCCTTGCTATGCGAATCATAGGTCAAAGTGAAGCTTATAATAAGATGAATATAAACAATAAGAATATACATAGAATAATCGTCCATTAATAGGTCTCGGAAAATACTCGTACTTATGTCTTCGCTAAGATATAACAAAAATGAATTCCTATCTAACTTATAAAGAAAAACCCACCTTTTTGAACTATTAAATGAAGAAAATTACCTAGCATATTCAATGTACGTTTTCAAAGCGAACATGTTTATGCATGTTTAGAAAGTACATTTGAAAATGTCTATTTTTAACAAATCACTCTATACCTATCATCATATTCCCTTTTAATATTATTACAAATATAACATCATTATTAATGAAAAGTAAGAAATTAAATGTGAAGGCCAGTAAGTTATGTTAACAGAATCAAAGCTAATCCGTTAGTATCTAAAATATCAGACATTAAGTGTCATATTTTAAATACGTTCCATTTTACAAAAAACTCATTAAAATTCTAATGAAGATTTCAAAATATCAGGTGTGTTTATGTAAACATTAGAAAAGAAATTCTTTATTCATTTTATATTATCAGCTGTCTTCAACGGTTGAAAGTAAATGAGTGGTTTGAATTACCCAGAGTTGTCCCGATATTGTGAAAGAAATAGATCATAAATTAATGGTTGAATAGCTCACAGTAATTACAAGTGAAATACAACTGTTGTATGTTAAACACAAACTTCACTACTGATAATCATCACCAACAAATATTCATGATCAGTTGTTCGTGGATCAGTTGAAGTTAGACGTTAACACCGTTGGATGTCAGCTCAGTGGTCTATCGGTTAAGGGCTTCGGCTCGAGACTGGTAGGTCCTGGGTTCGAATCTCGCGAGAGAGGGATCGTGGATGCGCACTGCTGAGGAGTCCCATAATAGAACGAAACGGCCGTCCAGTGTTTCCAAGTTTTCCATGGTGGTCTAGCTTCAATTGACTCACGCTTTCAACTATAATAAATATTCATGAATTAAAAACAGACAAAAACAAAACCGTTTATTATGATTCAAATTTCCTTTTTAAATGTAAAAATGAAACAACCATTTACTAATCATAAAGAATACAACTTATTTGAATAGAAAATTCTGTACGTGTTGAATGTACTACTATATAATCAATGACAAAAGCAATATTGGTTAATCATGTAAATTAAAAAGTTAAGCGTTCAATGGGCATTGATTTTTAGGAAGGGGTTAAGGGAGATACAAATATGAAATAGAGCTGAGAGTAGCTGTTAGAAATATCTAGCTAAGGTGTGAAGGAGAATCTTTTAGGCAATAGATGATAAAACTATCCCATTTTAGAAATATACGTTAGCCTTCCTCTAGTTAATCCAGATATGTATAAAGGACATAATCATGCTCCGACTGATATATTGTATTGGACCTGATATAAAAGTAGGACAACTCATTTTATTTTTATACAGTGTTAACTAACTACTCGGTGATGAAAGGTGTCACTGTTTATATACCTAATGATTAGATTTCCTAACGATACGGGATCCACATGGATCTGGACCTCTGAGTACGCTCAGTACATTTAGCTCTGCTAGAACATTTAAACTGGTGTAGGCACATCTAAAAAACAATTATTGTTAAGTTTCCGTTATTTCAAATGATCTATGGAAATTTTTTAGTTTTTGTAGATTGATTTAGTACATGAATTATAGAAACTGTTGTTAGTCAAAGAGTACAATACCCTGAAAAGTATGTGTTATATCCTAGCGAAGATATAAGGACGCGTAACTTCCGGGACCTAATAACGGACGATTATCCTATATATATTCTTATTGTTAAACTACTGAGTATTTAGATTATGTATACCTATATTCATCTTACTATAAGCTTCATTTTGACCTATAGATTATTATCATATGAACTATTGTTCCTAAATTATACTCAGTTTATTGATTATTGTCTCGCACGTTCACAGCCACATTTGGCTTGATCTTGTACAAATATTATTTTCTATTTTATGGTGTGCTGCGATCTGTCTGTCTGGTGTATAAACCGAGTATGCTTGAAATAAATGATTCGCATAGCAGGAGCTGCAGTCGGTATTTTTGGACTAAATGGGAAGCGCTAGGAGAGTAAGGGATCAATAAAGCGGCTAGACTGTTCATACTGGTTGAACGTCATTGATTTTGCACATTGTTAAAATTGGGAAAGTCGTATTCCGATTTGTGGATAAATCACGTGATAGAAGCCGGACATGAAATCATAACAAAATGGCATACGGCCTTGTTCTTTTTTAAAAATTCATAACAGTATTTAAAGGACTTATCAGATAAAAGTCATACCGACAATCGATAGATAAGTTTCACGTCCATAGGTTACAACAACAAGCAGCTAATTAAAACCAGAGTTACTTTTTCAAAGTTATATTCAACGTTAAATAGCTATTCAACACAATAAAAGACTAAGTGAAGAATCTCGAAGCAATGTTTTTTTACAATTAAATTTACTTTTACGGTTTTTAGACCAATTATATTTTCATGTGAGATCGATTCATTTTAAAAGGTAAACTGTGTCCACGTTTTGTAAAATAGACTGGTTTGCAAAACATCCATCAAACATGCTTATTCGATGATGAAGTTTCACTTGGTTGTTTATTTACTTGCTTACCTACTAACGACTGTTACCCCGCGCGGAGAAACCTAGGCAGCCCTCCACCATTCTCCATCGAACTCTATCCTGAGTAATCCTCTCCAGTTCTTTCCAGTTTTTATTCATCAGAAGACAGTGAGCTGTTGAAAAAGGTTCAAAGAACCACATCTAAGCTGATTACCGGAATAGCAAAGCTACTTTCTGATAATCGACTGACTAAACAGTTTATTTCCACCGTCATACAAAAAAATCAGAAGCAACTTGATTACATTTTTTAAAGTACTTTATTATGGATCTGAGTCGGAAATGCCCTCACTCTTCTTGTCTTCCAAAACAGAATTCCTGGGTACTGAAAAGTTCACAAACTCAGAATAAATTACATGTCAGCTAACTCCCGAATCTTCTTGCATAGAAAGTGAAGCATGTTTGCAGTTACTTCCATGTCTTACTTCAGTGCTTCAGCTGGTATATTGTCAGGTCCTGATGCTTTCCTACTCTTGATTTGTCTGATGGTCACAACTGATTTCTTTAATCGTTGATGGAGCGACATCTATAGGAATGTCTGTGCGTACTGCTTCGAAGTCCTGTGGATTGAATGGAGCTGGTCTACTCAAGAGTTCCTCACATTATTTTACCCACATGTTCCTCTGTTCTTGAATCTCGGTGTTTGGCCTGCCTTCTTTATCCTTGACTGGTCTCTCTGGTTTATTACATTTCCCTACTAGTTTCTTCGTTGTATCATATCTTTGTCTCAAATTTCCTTCTCTTGCAGCTTCTTCAATTGCCGTCGTTTGTTTTCTACGTATTTCTAAATGTTAGCTCTAATGCTCCTCGTCACTTGCTTGTTTTCTTCAGTGTATTCAGCTTGTGGTTTGACTTTCTATGTTTTTGTTCGACTGTTGTTGATTGTTGTCTTCTTGTTCTTCTTTTGTTGAGTCCTGTCCAGAGTTTCCATAGAGATCCATTCCTTATGATGATCTTTGTTGAGACTCAGTAGCTTCTGACATGTTGTAGTTAGTGCTTCTTTGATACCTTTTCAATCGTCCTCCATAGTAGTTTCTTCTTCTGTTAGTAGATCTTGTAATACTTGGTGCCTGTCGTTGAGAGCTATCTTGAATTTGTTCAGGTTGTCAGTATGTCGAATGTGGACTGTCTTGAGCCTTTAAACTGTTGTTTCTCCAGCTGTCAAATAATTCTTTAGCTTCAGTCTCATCATGGCAACCAAATGCCCTGGGAAGTGTTAGTTGTCACTCTCAAAATGCTCTCACATAGCCACGAGTATACAGCCACTGACATAGAAATCTTACTCCCTGTATTCTCGCGGCGGACGAAAAGCAAGTGTCCGGCGCTTTAACAGAGTTGGTGGATATGGAGGATCCACCTAGGACAGTTGGGAAACACTGATTCCAAACCAACGGTGCACATGGGATTGCTCTGAGATCCTGAGGGAATAAATTGTGTATGAACCAATTATTGGTCACTGGATATCATGGGACTGGATCTCCTGACATTGCTCCACAGCTTTGTGGATCAAGCTTTTAGGTCAAAGACTTTGAAGGTGACCCCCCAAGAAAACAACCTGATCCGGCCTCGGCACCCGGGCGGTATCACATCCCACACACAAATCACGTGACTTGTGTGGCGAATATGTATTCAGTGCCCCATTGTACCAATTTTCATGTGTTCAAATCAATAATTTAAATTAACCACTATTCGGTGGTGATCTGAAGCTATGTGATATGAAGAGAGAAACGAGAAGGCTTGACAAACTACGGAAGTTATTTTTTGGGACGTTATTTTATTCAAAGCTTGTAAAACAGTAACATTTATTTTTGTCCCTAGTTTATTCTACAGACCATGAGCTTTGTCTGATGTATGACTCACTGTCATAGCCTTACGTGTTCCGAAGCTATTGTAATTTAAATGTAACCT